TTTTTCTTCAAATGTTTGGCGTGTTCTGTTCCTGAAAGATTTACTAATATTCTGGAGATTTTTTTCAAGTTCTTCGGCCTTTTCCTTAGGGAAATTTTGTTTCTTATTTGCTGCTAAAAAATGGCGTCTGATTCAGTCAATGACTTTGATGGAACTAAATGAAAACGTGATAAATTAATGTCCGATATTTACAGGCTCCCGCTAGACGGCGTACTCGAGCGTTGCGATCGCGAATTGTTTTTCTATAAATATTTCTTTAGTTTGTTTTGATATACATCTATCTTATTATATAAAACGCTATTACGTTCGTATGTATCAATAAAACCGATGATATTTCTTTTCTCGCGCTGGCAACAGTTTTCATTTTTAACTGATTGGATTCGGCGCGCAAGAGCACGTAGTGAGCATGATATGGCTAATCTATATTAATAGTACGCTAATACGTTTTAATTGATAGGCTTCGGCGCGCAAGAGCACGTAGTGAGCATCATATGTCTATCTATCTCCGATTGTCACCGAGAAAAAAACGGTTGGTTGGTTATGAGTACTGAAATAGTTCCTTTTTATTCGCAGAAATGAGAAGTGTTATGCTATTGCTATTTTATTTTGAATTGAGCGCTTTACTATTCCATGTTAACTGTTTGCAATTTCAAATTAATATTGAAATGTACAGGTTTAGAATTTTCTACAGTGAAAAGTTTTCGGAACTTCAGTGTTCCAAAAAGTATACAAAAGCTAGACGTTAAGAACGTATCCAATGAGCGAGTAAAGCGAGCATCGGATTGCGAAGCAATCCGAAATGAACTGCGAACGCAGCTCTGGGGGTTGGCGAGCACCAGCGAGCAGGGGGCGAAGCCTCCTAGTATTATATAAAACGCTAATACGTATGTATCAATAAAACCGATGATATTTCTTTTCTCGCGTTGGCAACAGTTTTCATTTTTAAATGATAGGCTTCGAAGCGCAAGAGCACGTAGTGAGCATCATATGGCTGATCTATATTATATAAAATGCTAATACGTTTTAATTGATAGGCTTCAGCACGCAAGAGCACGTAAGGAGCATCATATGTCTAATCGGGTGAATTCTCACCGAATTATCAAAAACATTCTCACAAAATTATCTTCATCGAAGCCGATGCTTTACATCCGGCGTTCAGTACTATTTCATATTGTTTTACAACACATGGTTTTAGCACTCGGAAGGGAAAGACTTTAAAACAAATTTACAACAGTTACTTTTCTCAACAACTGAAATTTAGAATAGTGTGATTAAGAAAAATATGTGAACTGTTTGGAATTTCAAATTAATATTGAAATGCACAGGTTTAGAATTTTCTACAGTGAAAAGTTTTCGGAACTTCAGTGTTCAAAAAAGTATACAAAAGCTAGACGTTAAGAACGTATTCAATGAGCGAGAAAAGCGAGCATCGGATTGCGAAGCAATCCGAAATGAACTGCGAACGCAGCTCCGGGGGTTGGCGAGCGTTAGCGAGCAAGGGGCGAATCCTCCTAGTATAATTTAATAGGGTAGTATTTTTGAAGTTATACTTCTTATGCGACTTCCAATAAGGTTGCGTAAACGTTTAACGCTACATTTTTATTGGCCGGGAAATCACGTGGTAGGATCCAGTTTTCCCTCATTCATTTCCATATTTTTTTGGTTCTCACCAGCATAAAAAAATTAAAAGTCATAAAAGTATTTTTTTTCTATAAATATTTTTTTAGTTTGTTTTGATACACATTTAATTTAATAGGGTAGTATTTTTTATTTTCAAATTTAGTGGATAACAACTGTAAAAAATGAGTAAAAACAATCCCACGAACAATGTGACGGATTTAAGTTATGTCAAGGTACGTCTCTTGTGAATATCAATTGATTGTTTCTCTTTTGAAATTACATTATGACGCATTCACATACATTATTAACACAAATTCATTTTCCAGAGCGACACGATGAGGCAACCACAAGCACTTCTACTGATTCAAGAGGGAAAAATGCACAATATTATCGTGATTACAGAGCACGGAAGCGAGAAGGAAAAATAGTCGTTGAATAGAACTAGTGATCCTTCTACGACTGCTGATTCTTCTACAATTATCGTCGCAGGTTGCGAAGTTTAACTTCTTCCGCGCGTAGGGACTCGACGCACTATTTTCTTTTTATGAATTTCGTCAAAAGAATTTAACTTAACAAAATCTCGAAAAAGACAAAACAGACATAAAAAAATGAATTACAAGTTAATGGTTTTGATATTAAAACAAACGCGTGCCCTCAATGCGTTTTTATACTATACACATATAGGAGAAAATATAGACATATTCTCATTATAGATGTGAACATATATTATGCATATAAGATAAAATATGGAAATAATCTTATTATAAATGCGAATACATAAAAATAATAATTTTTTTAATAATTAAAAATAAACAAAACACCGAAGAAGAGTAAGATAGTTAAAAAGAAAATAGTATTATGACTTACTTATTTTGACATGTATACTTAAATCAACTACAACTGTGTTTTTCATATTTGCTCCACTAATGTGGAATATTATTTAAAACAAATTTTGTTCTCAACATGAATATAATAATAAATAAAATTTTTATGTTGCGCCTTTAATGAAAAAAAGCTTTACAATTACAAACAGAAAGATTTATTGTTTTAAAGCAATACATTTTACTTTAGATATAAATGGTGATAACGGTTATTTATTCGATAACAATTTGTAGAAGATAAAGGGTATTTATTTTCTTTATTTTTTATTGTCAAAGAAGTTTTCTCGTAAATTTTTGTCGCCAAATTCTTTTTTACCTCTCAGTTTTATGAATTTCTTAGAAAAGTGGTATTAGACATTTATTTTCCAAAATAAGTTTAGTTGTATATTATTCAACACTTTAACTTTTCCAAAATTAACAGTTTGAATTATTCGAAATATTCGTCGAATGCTTTAAAAAAGACTGATGGTTTCTAAGTACGGATTAGGTAGTGTTCTATTCTCCTCATAAGTTAAATATATTTTCTCGATATTACGTTTCAAAATGTAAACCAATTAAAAACTCGATTTTTTTTATATATTTACAAAAACATAAAATAATAAAAACCTAGTTAAAGTGGTAATGAAGTATAAAAATAGGTTTAGTTTTTTGCCAGATTTTAATAATTTTATCAACCAAAATTTAAATCACAGCGAATTAGATTCAGGGCTGAAGTTACTAACAACTAAAAGGCTCTTTTTTAAATACTAATGTCCAAGTTAGAGGCTTAACTAGATCAGTGTTCCACTATCATTCAATCGATATTCACTTCCACTAATCCTAATTAGACGATTCGTATTCTTATCCTAACAGGAACGTATTCCTATTGGTTGCATGTGCAACTGATTGATCATTTATGAATTTTCAGTAAATGAAGTGATGTCATCTTAGATATATTTATTATTTGATTTACTGAGATCTAACTGATATCCTATCCACGGAATATAGGAAGCCGCTTTAACAACGAACGTGTTGTCAAAACGAAGGCGCTTCGGCTGCCTTGTAAAACTTAAAAGGTAAAAGACAACTTATGAATTTTGAAATTGATTTATTTAATTAATTGCGCGAAATTAAGTAAGTTATTGAGTTTACTTTGTGAATTTAAAGTAATAGTAAGGTTTCTAGGGTTCTGTCAGACAAATTGCAGGCAAAAATTGAGAGTTGCATTTCGATTGACTCCAATCCCTTCATCAAGAACAAAAATTGACACAGTACTAGACTTTATTCATAATCTTGGGAGATTTGACATTCTTTTTGGCATTGACATTTTCGTCTGATGATATTGACAAAAACTTTTACATATCTTCTGTTCACATGTTTATCTGAGACAGTGAGGGCCATGAATAGAAAACATTTGAGAATTATGTTCAGTCAGTAAAATCTGTAATGATGAGAGTTGTTCTCTCATGAGCTGATCCATCTTAGAGAGACTAAACATATTAGATGGTGTGATGGAGGGAATCCCCTTTTATACGCGAAAAAGGATGAAGAGATATGACTTCAATCACTTGAGGCATATCCAACACTTGGGTACTGGATACTTGTGGAACTTTAAACTGTTCAGGAAGCATTTGCACTAAAGACTTCGCTGTGAATGCTCGACTCAAGCATTGCGCAGCCTCGCAAAGACTTCAACAGGCTGAGCAAACAGCAAGCAATCAGTGCGAGGCTACGCAACGTTTGAGCTTAGCATTCACCCCCTCCCCCACGGACGCAACAGCGTTGCAACGTACAAGCCGAGCTTCATCTCCGGGCGCTACAGTCACCGTAACTTACAGTTACAGACCAGGCTTCAACCGCAATCGATGCGAGACTACGAAACGTTTAGCTGAGCATACACCCCACCCCCACGGATGCTACAGCATTGCAACGTAAAAGCCAAGCTTCAGCTATGGAAGCAACAGCCAGCGTAGCCTCGTATCGACTGCGGTTGAAGCTCGGCCTCTAACTGTAAGTTACGGGGGCTGTAGAGCACAGAGTTGATGATCGGCATGTACGTTACAATTAAGTAACACCCGTTGTAGAGGTGGTGGATGCTCGACTCAAGCATTACGTAGCCTCGCAAAGACTTCAACAGGCTGAGCAAACAGCAAGCAATCAGTGCGAGGCTACGCAACGTTTGAGCTTAGCATTCACCCCCTCCCCCACGGACGCTACAGCGTCGCAACGTACAAGCCGAACATCTACTCCGGGCTCTACAGTCACCGCAACTTACAGCTACAGACCAGGCTTCAACCGCAATCGATGCGAGACTACGTAACGTTGAAGCTGAGCATCCACCACCTTTACCTCATCCCTCCACCTCTACCTCCCTTGACAGAAACTTCCAATTAGATTTGAACACGCCTACTTGAATGAATTCCAAATTGAACAGTTGACTTGCTACTTGTGACTGCGACATTATCCTACTCCTGGCACAGTTGCTACTTAGTCAATATCACACACAATGTCTGCTTCTATACACTCGACTGCTAACGACAACACTGTCGCTGGAACGACCACGACCGTGAACGTAATGCAGCTCTTACGATTAGCATTCAAAAAGGTCCGGTGATCTAAGCATATCTCTCCCGGTTTCTCCCAAAACAGCAAGGAATCAACTAGTTGCATCCGTTCTTCGAATTCTATCACACATATAGTTCTGGCGGGGGAGTACTGTAGTGTATCTACCACTACAAAAATATAATTCAAAAAATAATTTAGAGAATGTGTTTAGTTCATTGTTACATAAAGCTCGGCTGCTTTTTTTAAAAATCTGAAATTGTTTCATTCGTGTGATTTTTTTCTACCAGCTGCGGTCTGCAGCTTTTTTTGATAGGCGATATTTTCAAACAAATAATTTTGCTTCCAATAAAGCAAATAATATAATTTCTGAGTTCAAATATGCTTCATTTCATAACATATTAATGATATTAAATAATTCTGATATGTTTGAAGCTACAATTGTTTTAGATATTGGTAGAGAGGTAATTAGGAAGGCAACATGGTTGCTATATTTAGTAAAAACTCGATCTTTTTTCTGTTCAAATTTGGCTTAACAATATGAGGTGCTCCCTCTCTAAAAGTGTGGTCCCAGTTGTTAAGTAATCAAATTTAATATTATGCTTTATTAAAAATAATATTATGTATTATTGAATATAATATTTTATGTAATATTATTGAATATTTCATTAGTTCTTATATTAGCAATAATTAAATTATTGTGCATCATGCTGTCTGTTCAAACCAAAAACGTTTACATAGCTTATTTAACAAGCATATAATAGTTCGCTAATGTGTCTACTTCTCTAGTTGGATTAAGCTTAAACAGGAAATAAGCTCAAGATGCTCCATACTATTGTTATCATGCTATTGCTATATAGACTAGCTTTTTAGCACTTGATGCAGGTTAGAATTGTTAAGCATATAATCTTGCAGACACAAGATTGTAGTCATAACAATACATAGCAGAAACTAGCTCATTCTGTTGTTACTATTGCTATTTCTAGCACGGCACTTTTGACTTGGGAAACCTTAAATTTTATTATTATTATTAATTATCCAATTTATGATCTGTTATGTTATCTGATTTTAAATTTTAATTCTATTATTTTAAACTCTGTTTACTATGCAATTTAAACTTCATTACCTGGTCACTTGATTACCCGATGTCTGCCATATTTTGAAGATAACTGTACTTCGTGTAACTATTTGTGACATGTCATTTAAATCGACTATGATATTGATATGTGATCTTGATTCAATATAAAACGATGGAGTGTTTGGGAAATTTTAATCATGCCCACTATACAACAGAGTTGTTGGGGAAATATGAAAATGATCCCATTATAAAACACTCTTTTTATGCTGGAACATTAATTTGTGACACCTACTTTTTTGCTAAAGAGTTTGTTGTAAGATAATTAATTAGATTTGAAATTTTGAGCCTATTTCATTTGTGAAAACCTTTTTTTTG